TCCCACGAGAAGTTGGACTGATACATATGTTTCAACCATAACTTCATGAGCCAGAATACTTTCTTACTGTAACCAACTACTGGATGTGCTTACGAAGTTAAAATTTTTCCCATTAAGTGACTTTAATCTAAAATTATTTTCAGAAACAGAATTATTTATTTAAACTGATAGGAAGGTGAGCTAACCTATAGTTTGCACTTTCTACCCCACATGAAATACCTAGATAGACATGTTTACCATAAACAGTGTTATTCACATATGGATACAGTTTATATGTATATATATGTATACAGCTAGTTAAGTAAAAATTTCAAAAATGTCATTCTTATGAAATCGCTTATTAACAAATGAAATTAAGTTGTCGTGTTATCTATCTGCTATAACTGAATTAAAAAATAAATAATTTCTTAGCAAAAAAAGAGCAAAAAAGTAATTTCATATCACCAATATTTTATACAGTGATATGACGAATATATATATATATATCAACAAACTTGTATTTATTTTAACGGTTGAGATCATGAGTCAATTGAAGCTAGAGTTCAACCGGGTCAGTTGTGAGGTAGTAACTCACTGATGACAATGGTGGCTGTGTCGCTCGATTTCGTGGATTAGTTGAAGTTAGACATTAACACCGTTGGATGTCGTCTCAGTGGTCTAGTTGGTTAGGCGCCTGGCGCGACACCAATAGGTCCTGGGTTCCAGTCCCGCGGGGCGGGGTCGTGGATGAGCACAATAGGACGGAACGGCCATCTGGTGCTTCCAGATTTTCCATGGTGGTCTAGCTTCAATTGATTCATGATCTCAACTGTTGAAATTACTACAATCTCCACAAAACCCCTTCTGATACTTAACTTGTATTTGGTAAGTGAAGTGATATCATAGCTGTATTTGTTAAGGTATACTGAATTAGATAAAATTATAAAACTCCATGATATACATTAGCTAACGGATTTACATACATTTAAAGTAATTCAGCATAAGAAAATTTAGTGTCAGATAAAAACATGTGTTTTATTTAATTTGATGATTTCCGTTCTATAATTTGAAGATTTTATTCAAACGTAACTGGATAAGGCGTTTAATGACATATCTAACAGTACAATCGTAATGTCTTCACGCTTTTAATATTATAAATAACTTAGCAAATACATTTTAACTCATAGATGTATTAATGATTTGTTGTTTAGTCTCTAATTTTAAGAAGTGTATTTTGAAATACAGTAAATCACTAAGAATTAACCAAAACACAAGTCTCCATTGTTTCAGTTGCTATTTATGATTAACCCATATTAATTTTTAAAATGAATCGTCAATTCAACCACACTTAGACCAATGTGACTGAAATTTCAATTTCAAGACAGATTTCCTCAAAATATCTCGGTGTTAACTACCAAAACTAAATAAAGGTACTTTTTTGAGAGTAAATTTCAAATCTACCTATGTGATTTTACTTTAATCCTTTGTTATTTACTTGATGAGCAGAGGTTGACAACTCCAAATGATTTAAAAACGTTTATTCTAAAATCTAAAAAACCAACAAATTAAATCAAGTCATCTTGATAATCCAGTTGTTGTTTGATGCCTTTTCACCAAGATCCAATAATTTAGTGTCATATCTTCATCCTAAAGAGTCATTTCCTTCATTGATTTCTGTGTGTTTTCAATACTTTGTTGTGCGCTTCTAAATCACATAGAATTAGAGAGATCTAAAGTCTTTCAACTTTTTTTTGGATAAGGTATTGGAGCTACCTTGTTATGTGGACTACATATCCTTTTGTTTCAAAGTTACAATCATTCAGTTGCTTAAATCAACTAAAACTATAAATTTAAACTGTCAGTAACTAAGCAAAATGTAGTCATTTACTACCTTCACCTAGAGAAATAATTACACTCTGGAGTTATCCACCTATTTTGTTGATTCAGGCTATTTGTTTTTCAGAAACGAAGGACAACTGACACAAGTTTAATATTTTTAATAATTAACTACTCATGAGTAGCCAAATGTTCTCTCTTATTTATTTTGGTCAAGACGATTTTAGGTTTCATTTCTACATAACTATTACCACAAGTCTTTACTTTAATATCAAGCCATTATCGTAAAACATCGTGTAAATTCATAGACTCTTGCAAAAGCATCACCTTATCTTTTTCGCAAATTGATCTGCATATCATAATTTCTATTTAGTAAGCGTCATCACCACGGGAAGGCATTTACTATAACAACAAGCTGTTATAATCTCCTTTATGAAAAGTTAGTTGTAACGGATGGAATGTATGTATCTCCTTTCATCCAAATGAAAAACTGTATTTCCTCTGTATATCCAACAATTTCAAAATGGTTTTCTCAAGACCACCTATTAATTACTATGATATTATAAACTTAATGAAGATTTTTATTTACATGATTATAATCTTTTGACACCATCTTCAACAGTCATTAGTAAGGAACATAAAATTGGTAAAATAACTGGACCACAGAAATCAGAATGGACCAGTTGATGACACATTATACTTTTCCAATCCAGGGACAATCGAATGAAGAGGCTGAGTATGGTTAAGCCAACTTCACGCAAAGCGTTACAGGTAAGTGACGTAAAATTCCTAATAAAACGTCCCTCATTAAAAACTAAAACATAATTAGTAGATTGTTGAAAAGCGTTTAATAACTGAGTAGTACCAACAAGCCAGTCATTTCAAAAAGTGGATGAGTTCAATAAGAACAAATGTCCTTGATAAACCTGGAAGGGAACTGCTGTTCGATACAACGTGGTTTAAAACTTTTAGGACTGAAAGCTATCATAATCATAGATACCAGTATCTATGTGCTGAATACAATCTTTAAACATCCACACAAAAACCGAGTGCTACATCTCACTTTGTATGCTTACCAAAATCGGGAGGTTAGGGACATAAGGAAGCTCACCCCTCCTAAAGGTTCTTTACATTTTTTGATGACAATCACAGCTCATTAAATAAAATAATCTTAAAATCTCTTTCCTACGCCTACTTAACAAGTTGCGTCATACTTTTACGAAGTACATTCACTAATTTACTTCATTCAAGAACTTCTCATTGAGCGTTACACTGATCATAAGGTCGAAATAGAGTATCTAGTGCCAAATTTTCTTGAACTGCTCAGTTTTAATTCCATGGACAAAAATACTCTAGATGCTTCTAATGGACGTTGAAAACCATTTATAAATTCTCATGTTTAATTAGTTACTATTAAACGGTTTAACAAAATTTTGAAGAAAAAGTTTACTTACACTGACAGAAAAATCTATAATAATACAGCCAAATAAATAACTATGGCAAAAAGGACATTATTAATAATGACAGACTAATAAATATAACATTGATAGTTAAAGTTCTGATTGACTGAAAACATCAGGGTCATCTCGTGAGCAATCAGATATGATCGAAGAAAACTCAAATCGAGTTTAACTTCTTTTGACGGAGAAGGTCAAGAGGATCGTTCAATAATTACAAACTAAAGGTTAATAAAATTTCACCAAATAACAAGGACACTTAATCTTGAAAATTTCAGTAACCTTATTTAACTACTCAATAATTCTCAGTAAAAAAATCATTTCGCTGAAAAATTGCGTGTGTATACAACATAGAGATTAAAATTGAAGTTTTGGCGATTTCTGACACCATATATATACTCTAAGTATAACTTGTGAAATCGTTAACTCAAATTTTGAATAGGCTTCATTTTGATGAAAATCGTCTCAAAGATATTCATGTCCTTCCACTAGCTATTTCACACCAGATGATATATGCTGTGATGTCTAGTACCATGCCAAGCCCCCATGGGTTCTTCTAGCTTCCGGAGAGACCAATTTGTTCATTCTTCTTGAGTCACATTTTGACCTTGTAAATTAATCACTTAAATCCCTTGTTGTTTTTGTATGAGCGTAGATGTGTCCATTGCTCATCTTATTGATCACATGTCTAGCTTATTTTGTCTGACTACTAATATTGAATCAGGCTTGACCGAATGGAATCGACACACTTGTCTTCTTCGGTCTGCTTCTTTACTTCCTTTCTTTGATTGTCTGTCTGAATCAATGAATGTATGGTGCACCCAAAAATCCAAAATTTATTCTCGTATTTGACTTATTTTATTTCATTATTCTCTAACGCGAATTAAATCGATAATTATATGTGTTAGTAGCCGACATTTTTTGTCCGTTAACATCATCACCTGATCAAAGCGGAATCAGATCAATGGGCCACTAAAAGGTCAATATATGAGATAAATTCTGGAAAGTTATTGATATGCTGCAGACTGAATTACGTTTTCCATGAACTTCAGTGAAAGGACTTAGAAATCATTCTTTTGATTTCTGTGGTACTTACAAGATAAGATCAGTTTTTTATAAACTGAATAGTGGAATGTCAATTTTTGCCTTTTTATAACAGTTCATAAAAGCTAACATAGCAGTAATCTGCTTTTCTAAAACACTCAGGGACTAATCATATGGACAACTATAAACATCTACATCAAAACCTAGGAACTTTGTAAGATATCATGAAAATCCTAATCAGAGAATATACTTACAACATTCACATTTTTAAAGCGAGAATAGAACAATCACACGGAACTTTCTACAGCATCAAGCATACTCTAAACTTTAATACGGTTATTTCTGTCAGGAAAACAAATCAAAACCTTTCATATAATTGTATTATTCTCATCTTGACCCCCGAAATTATCAAACATTTGTTTAATTCTACTTACCGTTAGTTTCATTTAAAATTTGACCATATTTAAGATGGCACAAAAATCATAGTTCCATTTAAAATAAACACCTTAATTAACATAGCTTAACGGATTCCTATTTGTGGCTAAATAATCAAATAGACTAAACCGACTTTATAGGTTCTCTATAGATCTATGGTGATAAAAACTTATTTGAAAATAGCTATACGTTTGAGTCTTACAAAGTCCATCCCTTTCATGATGTAGAGTTTGGAATATTGAAACTCACCTGGTCTTACGTCACTTTGGGTAGTGAACCTTTCAGACGTAGCATCAAAAGGTTTAGGTTGAAAACGCCTTAACCACCTTCTTGAAATCGCACCACTTTTTGGGTCATATGCGTTTGGTCCTGGTGTATCAATAACTTTCTCTTTGAATCTCTTAACAAATATGAAATAAAATGAAGTTTTTGATCTGTGGAAAATCAAATTAATGATCGAAAATAAACATAAAAAGCTGTTAATAAACAGTAGTAAGATAAGAAGATTTACCTTGAAGTATGAACTATTTTGACAACTAAATTTATGTGCAAACTGAATGTAATGTTATATATATAATGGATATGATGTGTAAACCTGAAAAACCTTTTGTAAACATTTCTTAGTGAACTTTACCATAGTTACGAAAGATCATTCTTATTGATGACTCTGAAAGTTAGTGAAAAAAATAACTCAGTCTTTAAGTACTGATGATTTCGTCAAAGCGATATATAATTCTATACACTCATTATACAAGTTGTTTGCCTCACATTAATAACAGGAAAATAATAAAAGTAGTTCCTCGTTAAATCAATGATAATTTTCTGCCTCCAGCTTTGAGATTATTAGAAAGAAAATGAAAGGATTATATGAGTCAGATATTTCAACAACGGTTTTTAAGTATTATGTCTCACATGTTTTCACACAACATAGCTTAGATTTTTTATCCTCTATCAATAAAACTTGAAACTTCTACTTAGCCACTTGCATGTAACAAAATGAGTTGCCTGTAAACCTGGTAGAAAAAAGTACTTTTTCACAAATTTGGTCGAAGAATAGGTATTAAAGCACTGCTACGAAAACTTAGAGCTAATTACTAACACTCTGAGCAAATCTGTTGAACCCATTGTAGTCAAATATCGTTTACAGATATCAATTCCAGTCAGAATTATTTAGAAGTAAAAAATGAAACAGTTAGATGACATATATCAAAATGAAGATTCTCCACAAGAAATGAAACCACCACAATTACGTAGAAAACTTTGACACTATATTTATTATGTAAGCATTGTACCAAATTAAGAACGAATTACTTGCTCTTCAGTATTAAAAGGCGCTTGCACCGCAGTAGCCTTAGATATTTGCTTGTCATTTGTGTTGTATGAACAGGGACTAGGGAAGTTCTATTGCGTGGCAAAAAAGTAAAAGAAAATTTAATTCGAAATATCGGTAACAAACAAAAGTTTGCGAAATCTGTCATTGAATTGTAATATATGTATAAAATAGAAAAATGAAAAAAAATTATCTTCAACTACTTCCATTTCATACTGTTTAGTGTATATCAGTTTTATGAGACAATTTTTAGTCAGGCATTTGGTTCTACATCGAAATCGAGGACTTACCAGATGCCTAAAAAATAAGTGAACACCGACAGTCATGATATAGCAGTTATATATACGTTAAAATAACATTTAATAACTGTTTTAGAAGATAAATATGTTTATTTGCTAATTTTGCTGAATTTGAATGGTATGGATTATCGCGTTGTAGACATTTTGACTGAAATTCGATCAGTCTAAATTGGCATATAAGCATTTTGTGCGGATTACCTCGATATATCTATTATGACACAACTTTGTAAGGACAGATGAAATGTGGAATCTAGGATGAGCATTTCGTCCTATTTGAGACTAGTCAGCCGGGTGTACTTGAATCCCAGAGCTGATGTTCACTCCGACATTCCAACTCGACACCTTTTGCTTCAAACGCCTACGACTTATTCACATAGCTACATAAATAATATAGCCTCTCACCTGTGCAACCGATATGATGAGTCCCAAACAGGACGAAACAGGCGTCTTTGATTCCGCTACTAGACATGTTCAAGCTATTCAATACAAACTTGTATCATAATGGATATATCGACTCAATCCGCACAGAATGCATATATGCCAACTAAGACTGATCGAATTTCAGTCAAAATATCAACAACGTGATAGTTCAAACCATTTCAAACTGAATTAAAATTCATACTCGTTGCGCTTGTGAGAGTCTATGTGGACTCAGTAACTATTTGGATAAATCGTAGACATTCGAAACTAAAAGTGTTGAGTTGGAATGCTAGAGTGAACATCAACACTGGGATACAGGTACATCCAGCTGACTAGTCTCAAATAGGATGAAATGCCCGTGCTAGATTCCACTGATAACCTCATTTCATCTATTCTAATTTAATAACTTATGTTACTATTTAATTAACTGAAAACATTTGTTTTTACGTTTCCAGCAATTCTTAACAGATTAGTTTGGCTGTAGCAATAATTTGGGATTAACGATTTATAGTTTCGAATATAAATTAGTTTTCTCAATGAACTTATTATGTAAATATAAACTACCATTGATCTTCAAAATATTATGTATAACGAAGTATTGATAGTTAAAATTACGCTTGATTGTCAACAAATTACACTCATATTCTCAACCCATAAACTACATTGACCCTAAAGCTACATTATTATCTTAAGCTCCTCGAATTTATCATAAAAAAGACACAAATATGGGCTTATGAATTTAAAAGGTAGTGAGCGTTTGTTTTGATAGTACTACAGTCTTATATAAATACCTAACCATCGTCACAATGTTGTATTATCGTCTTAATTTTAACGAGTCAGGTAGTTGATAATCTATTCTCTGAATCAATGCATGCTCATATATATATATATATATATATATATATATATATATATATATATATATATATATATATATATATATATATATATATTGTGTACCAAATTTAAAACAATAAGTTTGCGATTGTTATGTTTCGTATTATTGTAAGGACAACAGATTACTTCGAATCTATATGTGTATGATTAAAAACTTTGATTTAATAATAACAATACTAGTACAAACAAATCGGGAGTAAGTTCTATCAAACAAATAAATCAAGTTGTTACTGTTAGTTTATTAAATAAAAAAAACTGAAGGCTACTAGTTTGTGATGAAGTTTACTTAATGTCTAAAAGTATCATAAATAGTTCCACCAAAAAAAGATTCTTTTAAACCTGTGATTGATGATCTGTTAAGTAACGCACTCAACAAAACTTTAGCTATGTTTTCTAATTTTTTTGTAAGTCAATATAAACGAGACCGAAGAATAATATTATGGGCAGCATGGATCGTAGAAAAAAAAGAATCATTTGCTAAAATTACTTATTACATATTAAATGAATATTTTTAATTAATTTCGCAAATCAACTCATACAGTGAATAGCTGTGTATCAACGGCTAAACTTCAGTAGTTTGCGGAGAATTTTCTATTGTCTATCCAAGTAGATAATAAGCTATCCTAAATATCATTTTATTGTTTTTTATCCATATGTTATTTAAAAAAGTAAACTCAGTTAAAATATAAGTGTGAATCATGACTGAGAATCTGGTAGAAATATCCTCGTCACAAAGTTATCCTTAGAAAATACCAAGAGTCAGTAGACTAGGAAATATCCAAATCTAGATAAAAGAGGAAGATACTTGTTTGTGCAATTCATGAACAACTTTATCCATGAATCTTGGGACTGCCAAAGGATGTTCAGCCTCAATGTTACTTCTTTCTCTAGCAGTTTCAATAAGTTTTAACCAAGGATCATTATAAGGATCATATTGCCCTGGACCAACTGAATTTGAAGCTCTGTGTAGTAGATAACGTCCTGAAGTCTGAAAGATAGAAACAAAAATACAATATGGCAAGAAGAAAAAGTTGCCGAAAACAAAAGTAACTCATAGAAAAAATGACTGGACAAATTTACAATGACCAGCTTTTTACAACCGATGATAACTAGAATCATCAACATGGGGTTGTGGAGATTGTTATGTTTTTGAGATTGTGAATCGATCGATATTAGACTACCACTGAAAACCTGAAAGTACTGAACGGCAGTTTCGTCCCAATATGGGACTCCTTGTCAGTGCGAATCCACGATCCCTCACGCTGGATTCGAACCCAAGACCTTCGGTCACAAGTTGAGTTAATGACAGATATTTAGTTTTTGTTTTAAAAAGCATCTGAATACATTCTGTTGGCCATAATTCAGTATTACTTCTAATGACCAGTGGAAATTCAGTCTCAATTACTAAGACTTTAAAATATTCCCATGTATTGTCACTTGAAGTTGGCAGTAATCCATAAATTGGCTCCCAAAAATCCTGAAGTATTACCAACTTTAAATTATATAGAGAAAAAAATATTTTTAATACAAAATAAGGGAATGACTCTCCCACCATTATAACTACATTACAATTCGCCTTTCTATATTTTACATACACACCTTTAGTGACGTTCATCAAATTCTGTGTGAGCACACTGCCTTTGAAATTTCTATTTTGATATAAAATACTATGGTTACTGCTATATATTCATTAAACAAAGTTTTTCTAAACAATAGTTCATTTATTTTTAAGGTTAAATCTATCGTTTAAGCGGTAGATTATTATATGTAAATCGCGGAATATAGGAGAATGTTTTGTAAACACACTTTCCTAAATAAAGAATATTGACCCTTAGCTAAAGTAGAAGATTAGAAAATAGTGCCGTAAATTTTTAAGGAAACAATTAAATAAGACTGTTTCATGTTGTTATACAACTTCTATTTCTGTTTAATAAAATCAATGTTATAAAGTTTAAAATTAATATTATGATTCCCTACAAGAATATACAATGTACGACAGTGTAAAATTTAAGCTTGGATAACCTAGAATTACTCACCTACCAAAGAGTGATCAGACTAAAATCTCACAATTAAAAAGCACGGTTTAAAAAACTCAATTGTTATGAAAATCGGAAAAGCAAAACTCACACTCTTTGACCAGCCACAACCTTTATACCGCGTAAAAACAGGGTCTTTGGTAGGCCCATAAAACGCTGGGCCAAGTGTTACATCCCTTTTTGGTCCAGATTGGGGGTGGAGTCGACCATCCAGACCCTCTTCGTAACCATGCACAAAGTCACCAGAAGGTATGCTCGGTACATCTCGAAATCGAACATCAGGGATTACCTCATACTGAAACGGAAATCACCGTGAATAAGAACATCCAATTTAGCTTTAAACAATAAACATTCTGAGATAACGGAAATCGGAATCTTACATGATATTACTAAGAACAGCAGATAAATCGTGTCAATCAAAAATAAACGCCGAATTATCAATATATCATTCTAATTCTCAAAAATAACAGTGAATCTCATAGTCTACTTAATTAGACAAGTATTCTCTCTAACGTACTCTAAAATGACCTACAACGACTCATCATAAATAAACATTAGCAAATCCGTAAAATTATCACATATTTTACGCGGTCCTTATTTATCAAATAGCAGTGAAAATAACGTCTGTGAAACAAAAGCTGAGGAATGTTGAGGGTCTTTATAAAAATCACCTAAATTTCTAAGGATTCGAAATCATTTGCTGACAAGGAAAGATTTTATGATGGTCTGTGATATTCCTGAAAGACAGCTTACTTACAAAACTCCAAATTAAGACGAAGATAAGTTCCTTTCAGAAGTCTATCTGAAGTATTTAAGTAATACAGCAGAAAATGCAGTTTACCAGAGCCTTGTGAATGATAATTACCTAAGGTATTCTGATTAATTTGATTACATACTAAATTTGCAAGATATGTGGAAAAATAAACATGTCAAATCAAACCAATGAAAAATATAAGAAAATAAGGACAAAATGAAAGGACAGCATTGTACACACAACAAAGTTTTTAGTCGTATTAACACGTAACTCAACATCGCGTGTCGAGGTGTGGGATGGTTTGGCATATGTGATATTTCCCAATCATCTGTGTCGATAAAGATTCATAACCTCACCAATCGATCTCTAATCTTTACCCGAAATCCTCATCACTGCTTACTTGGTGGTCCCAACATATGGTAGCAGTATTTCGAGGACACCTTTGGCTAAATACCAGTAACCTACGAATGTTTTCTATTTACTCGGTACTTTGAGATCATTATTACGATCACTCCCCCTATGTAAACTGCTTTTGCAAACTTATGTTACTTGTAGAGTACGGGAGATATCCATCTGCTAACTGAAGAACGAGTTTACTGTGCATCAGTTCATTCCGTTCTACTCTAGGACTGTGAAGTGTGGTATTTAAAAATAAAGGATATTCTTAGGTTAATAGTATTCGATCCTAAGTGTCTTCAAAGCATTTTTCGTACATTTTAGCACTGTAAAGTTGGCAATTAAGGTTAGACTCAAAGTATTAAGTAAGTATGGCAGGTCGACTTATGAGGTAGTGAATCTTAATCGAGTGAGATGATGGCTGGTGTAGAAGGATGAAAGAAAGTCAGGGTCGGCCAAAGTAAGACACAGAACCAGTCCATGAAGACTGGTTTATATTTTCTCAAACAGTATCTCCGGTGCCTAATTCTTTCTGTAAACATTAATACTGTTACTACTTCTGCTACTCTAGGATAAAACCTGACAGTTTTATCTCACTGTGCTTATATAGCATAGGAGCTTGAACCGATGCACACATGCCAGGATCCGTGTTGCGCTTGACTAACTGACGTAATCATATTTCTGAAGACCACCTTTATCCTATCTCATCCTTACAATTCAAAAATTTGCTGATTCCATCCACTAAAATTCATCTTACACTTTACCGTCAATACTTCCAACAAATTTGTGTTTCTATCCCTACTCTTTTAGAAACCTTACTGACCGAAATGTCTGTGTCTAATATTAGCAAGTTAACTACATACGATGCTAAAAATGTTTGTTCCTTTAAAACACTTGTAGATGATATCATCGCCATCTGTGATGGCTGATTATGGTTAAATTAAGTTCCTCCACAAATATCCATCTGTCCAAATCTTTTATCTCATATCAGATCACAGTGAAAAAGTTGACAAGAACACAAATATGGGAAGGAAAATAATATAAAATGTAATGGAAAGCTTAGAAGTCACGTTTGATTTGAAAACATACTTATTGCTGTACAGAAAACCAAGATGACCAAACTTTCTTTGTACAAAAAGCCTATACAGGTATGCATATTTTATGACTGGGTTGACACAAAGGAGGCTCGATAAACTGTCTACTTATTATAATCAAGTATATCTCAACAATCAGTTAAACCAGTTAAACAAAACAACTGTATACAATATATACCTTATCAGTGTCTGTAAACCGATAAAAAAGACTCATATTCTGTCTTCTAGTGACATTGAACCCACTTATTGTTTCGATTCAGAGATATGTCAAGATAAGTTGTGATAAACAGATGGCTCAATTAGAAATATCAGTCTTAAACTGACATTTGAGCCAGAAAAAAAAATCAAAATTACTACTAAATGAAATTCAAGTTTACCCTATAACCATGAGTTGGCAAGCGCAATATGTAATTTGATAGAGGATACCAAAAATATGAAAATTAAAAATATACTACTAATCCACCCAGTACTTAACAAATATTCATTAACTTAACTGTCCAACTTATAACTATTTTTTATATTCTTACATAATGGCATGACCAACTTACATAATTTAACCGTTTTCTCCTGTCTTGTTGTTCACTGGCTAGCTGATTTTTAACCTTTTCCGAAAGCAGAGGGCTATGCAAATCCGGTTTTCTCCCCGCCCATTTTGATGCTATATTATATGTTTCAGGTCCTGGTCCATCTGAGTAAAACGATGGAAACCGCTTAGCCTTATTTGCAATAGAACTACATCCCTGTATGGATTGAGAGAACAGAAATATGATTAAAATAAAGAATATAAGATTCCTATAATTACGTGAATGCGCACTAAAATAACTAAGGGAAAATACTGTTAAGTATGAAATACGGATCGTTCAAAAACAATAAGATCGATTTAATACTTTTAAACTGATGACTTAAACGAAGGTAATTATTTACTTTGATTACTGGACAGTATTATAAATAAATTAATATATTTGTAATATCCCAATTGGTAGAAAAATTAAATTTCATGACGTTTTGCGACTCAGTGCAGGTCACTTCTTCAGAGAATGAATAATCAAACTAAAATTAATCCAAGTTTAAATAGTACAAAGGAACAACACAAGAGCTACTTAAAGTTGGATTAATTTTAATTTTGTTATTCTCTAAAGAAGTGACTTACACGAGTCACGATTCATTATAAAATTTAGTTTATCTACTCACTGGAGTATTACAAATATATTAATTTATTTATAACAATCTAGCCAATGCTCAGTTTACTCGAAATTACCAAGGCAAACCTTGGTAATGATACATACAAATTCATTGGGCAATATTGTTTAAAAATTCTGTGTAATTAATAAAATGTTTATTATCATCCACATTAAAATACAGGGAATGTTTCCGTAAGTTCGGTTGAAATGCAACGCTAACCTCTGACTGCGAACCCAACGGCTCCATGTTATCAGATAACAGGTAATAAAAACTTTCAGACGAATGTATTACACTTTCAATACTATCCTATGCTATAAAGACTTAACATGTATAGGGAACATTTGTAACGTCAGAATATTATTACTTTTCATAATAACTACGAATGGCGGATTTTCACTCACAATAGTAACGATTTTTAAAAACTTTGGGATTAGGTTATCTTCAACTTTTTTAAAGTTCACTAACTGTGTTGCATTCGATAATTCCAGTCGATACTTCAGATTAGTTGTACGCTCTGTAATTCAGGTGCTTCCGTAGAATCAATTATCTGTAAAACAAAATCAGAACCCTAGAGTGACTCGCCAGAGTTTGTAAAAGGTAAACCCTAAAGTGTCACAAGAAATATTCAGCTCCGTATGATCTATTACATACAGCCTACTTCATGATTTTCAGGACATTTAAACATTTTTCAAATCTGACACAAACTCATCTTCCGAATAATATAGAAATTTATACAACAGCAATGATAAGAGATTTATGATGTTTTACTATTTCCTGGCCTTCTATTAACCCACCAGTCAGGTACTCAATCTTTCAAAAACCAAACTGATGGTTTCCAGATTTGAAATTCATCAAAACCATTTTCAGCCACCTAGTTAGATTTAATTAAATATAACTGTTACTTCCCACATTTTTCAATATTTCCGAACAAAAAATTTGATATTTAAAGATCCTACCAAGTGAAGTTTGACAAAAATATGTATCGTTCTCACTAATCAGAACACCATGTCACCATTTAATGCTCACTAGTAGGCCTTATATATATGAACATTTACTCAAGCATACAACTAAAAAATTAACTCATAATAAAACGTTAAATAACGTCAGTTCGTGATTCAAAAATCTTAAGGAAAACTCGCTGCTAATAATTATGTTTTATCCTTGTAGCTCATCTTTATTTACTCCATCAATGTTTATACTGTTAATAAAATCAGTGCCAAACCACAAGTTTGTCATGCAAAGTTGTCTTTATGCTGTTCAGCTTGTATAAAACTACCTGACAAACTGATAATTTGTTTACTGGTAGTCGTTTGCATTATTCAAAAGTGAGCACCCCAAAAGAAATAATTCACTACATCTCATAAACATGGTTATGAGTCAGTTTATTTATATAATAATCATCTGAAAAATATGCCAGATGATATACAAACTCACATTTGATGGCATTTCAAGGACCAGCTTGGTTGATAGACTCCCATAAAAAGGAGCAAAAATCTAAGGTTGCGACACAAGTAAATCCTTTTCTCCTTTTGTAACTCAAATTATTTGGATGAATAATACTTTTAAAAAGTGAAGGGCAATCTTCTTAATAATAGTTTCGCTAGTGTAGACTACAATATCAATTAAGTTTAGTATTTAAAACGCTATGAATCTAACCACAGAGTTTCCCACTCAAATTTTTATAGTTAATTTATGGCTCTTTTTATTTGGAAGCAATAATGAACGGCCATTTTTTGTAGAGCCGTAGTATAGAAATACCCGGTGATAAGAATAATTGTAGGGCATTTCAAATAGTGGCCGAAAGTTTTTGGATTATTATGCACATTTTGTTGGATTACTATGCTTAAGGCTTAAAGTAGACAAACAAGTACGCCAAAGAACCCTTTTTCCATCAGTGTGATTTTCGACAAATGAATATGCCGAAAATTTTCCACATTAAAATACACGGACGAACCAACAGTATTATTATCCGTTGGACATTTGCCAAAGAGGCAAAGAAAATAATTTATGGGTGTGTTGAATGTAATCTACTTGAAGGAGTTTATGTAAAAGCTTTAACAGGATAAATAACTCTCGCTTATACGTTCTTTTTTCAATTTACAAAATGAAACTCTCTAAAATTTCAAAGTTTGCAAACTACAATTGTGAAACACGAATAACTTCGATCAAACAGTTGTTGAAAACCGCAATAAGCAAATAAGTTTTGCATTCTAAAAACCGGGTTTGTCAAATATACGATAACACTGCAGTGCAACAGAAATTAATAGGAGCAACCAAACTGAACATAAGACGAGTTAATAGACTATAATTTGTTTGGATCAGTTTTTCAGTATCTAGGATAAAAAACGATGATAGTAAGGTTTCAAAAGCTTTTTTTCTCAGTTCTTAGTTCTACAAATCTTTCAAGACAAATTTTTAACATAAAAGGTTATTTTTTGAATACATATCCCATGTAAAATCATGTTTCAAAGACGTTAACATAAACACACAACCTTTACGATGTACGTATATTGAACAGTCTCTGGATCTTTTTAAAAAGTTCGAGTTTAACCCAATATCTCCCGAAGAGTTTTGAGAATTTCTCCAAAATAACTTGAAATTTTGAGGGAAAACATAAGACCAGAATTGTAAACAAGCGCAAGAAACTCATATAGATATTAATGAATAACTTTAAATGTATCATGATGAAAATAGCTGTCAGTATATATGGTATGCTGTTTACTACTCTTCATGATTATTTTGTGCAAAACTTTAAATGAATCTTATGAAATATGATTACGGTTTTCTAACGAAGAAAAACAAGTCATGTGTACTTTTACCTTGACTTTTTCAGAAGGTAGTTTTGGAAAGTAATCTGCTGGTGAAGGGAATGCCTCAACACCTAAAAAGCTGAAATTTAATTTTCTTTCCGTCAGTGACTCGAACGGAGCATATCCAACATCGCACGCAGGTGTTAGTGAAGCCTGAATATAATATGATCCTGGACCCAAATTTTCATCAGTTGCCGTCTTCTCCTGAAACGTAAAAATTCGCTTTTGTCTGTCATACATTTTTAACTAAATAACATCACGGTAACAAAACAAAAGTTTAATTTCAACGTACGATACAATAGTCAATAACTATATAAATGGTTCAGATTCAGATTTGTGTAGTAAGGACAGAAGACCTACGGCCTATGTTATTCCTTTTCTAGTATGCTTCTGTGAGTGTCCAGTCTCCTCTTGAAAGAGTCAACTGGAGGGGCGGACATCACTGCTTCAGGCAGCAGGTTCCAAGAATTGATGACGCGGTGTAAAAACCTGTATGCCACGGGTATTTTGTTCGTTCTTGGCTTTTCTACTCACCTGCTATGTCCTCTAAGGTGTCTCGACCTAGTGGAGGAGGGAATGCAATGTGACGATTGTAAAAAGTGGTACCACAAAATGTGTACACGCCTAAGCGCGACGGCTTACAAAAGATGCTCGAAGCCTAACTCGCATTGGCTTTGCATGTTCTGCTGTACGGATAAAAAGGTGCTAATTCAGGAGGCTATGAGCCTATTGGCTTTGGCCTGCAAAAAAAACGATGGCGGAAGCATTGATAACAAGAGCACTGACGGAGAAGTATGTGTCAGTGTAGTAAGTGCTGCTACTGAACCCGTTAAACACCTGACTGTGGTTGACGGGAACGTGAAATCTCCGTTGACATTAACGAGGAATGAAGTGCCGCTTGATGTTGACATCGGCAGTCATACACTTCGAGTTGAAATAAAAGATCCGGACAAAACTGTCACCGTTCCACGTAGTCCAGGTGTAGCTGTCCTGACTGATGACAAATGGACTTCAGTAAGGAGAAAAAGAAATGGGAAGAAAAAGGCTGTGGGCTAAACGCAGCTGATCAGCGAGGCATTGGAAGAGATGTTATTAGAAGAAAAATCCTCACTGCGTGACAAGACAGATCTCTCTGGGAGATCAGTCATTTTTCATAAGATAAGAGAATCTTCAGATAAAGAACCAAAGGCGAAATTTGAACAGGAGCTCAATCATACTAAGACATCATTAAGTAAAATACTCCCAGATACAGTTTCACGAGTCAGTACGACAAAAGGTGGATTCTGGAAGTCCTCCGAAAAACCGCCTCTTGAAGGTTACATTCAACACGGTGGAAGGAAGAAACCTAATTCTAAGTAATTCACGTAAACTGATAGGATCCGGAATATATGTCCGTAAGGATCTCAGCCTAGCTGATCGTATTAAGAGACGAGCTGCAGAAGCGGAAACAAATGAACGTCGCCAAAATGTGAAACGAAACCTTGTCCTCAAGGGTTTTCAAATTGTAAAAGTTCGGAGGAAAACGATCCCCAAGCCACTCTGGGTGGCAAGAGAAAGCTGTCCACAGACTTTAAGGTATGCTACACAAATTCTCGCAGCCTACTAAATAAAATGGCGGAGCTTAAGTCAGTGGTGGATAAAGAAAAACCGGACGTTATTGCTGCCTCGGAAACTTGATTAACGTCAGAAATATAAGATAGTGAAATTCAGTTGACTGGTTTCATAACCAGTAGGGCTGACAGATTAAACCGTAGGGGAGGCGGGGTTATTCTGTACACGAAAAGTACCCTAACCATAAGATTAGCTGAGACAGTAGCACATGTTTCAGGGACATGTGAACTGGTGAGATGTAAGTTGGAATGTCGACGGCAAGATATTGAATTAGTTGTACTATATTGCAGTCCGAAATGTGTAGTAGATGATTTTCTCCTAAGAAAACTTAAGTCCTGGTGTAACAACGGTAAAACTCTTGCAGTAGGCGACTTTAATGCTACACATATAAATTGGGTTAACTTAAAAGTAGGATCATCGATATCGTCGTTCGACTGCAAACTGTTAGAAACCTCGATTGGATTAGCATTATTACAACACATTAGAGATCCCACAAGATACGACTTAAGAAACTCTTCCTCTCTTTTAGGTTTAGTCTTCACACACAGTGATGACGTTGATCAAATGGCTTTTCTCCCACAACCTGGGAGAAGTGACCATGCAGTCATCTTATTCAAATTCATAGCTGAGATTGCCTGTCAAACAGTTGCAGGCTTCCGTGTCTAGTAGCAGAGGATCACCAAATCCTCCAGGCAGGAACCTAGGTAAGTTAACAATAAAAGGGGAAAAGAAATTAGTAAATCATAGTGTGATACTATTCTTAGTCCTTAAGAATAGATCAAGTTGCCTCTTAAAGGACTCCTGGGACGGTGTTTGAGAGGATGCCCAGAAGTGTTAAGAATACTATAAGCCATCAGAAGATCACTTCTAAGACGTCTATACTCTAATGGATAAAGGTTAAGTGAAAGGAGGCGCTCTTCGTAAGGTTTAAATTTGAGTCCTCGAACTAATTTCGTGACTCGCCGTTGGATACGCTCCAAGGTGTCCTTCTCCTTTTGAAGTGAGGGGGAAATACTATGTTTCCGTACTCTCAATGGGGACGGATAAAACTATTGAAGATTATATGGAAAGTTCTTCCGTCAAACTGACCGAAAATGCGCTTCAATGTTACCAGTGCAAGGTTTGCTCGGAAGGCACTTTTGTCACAGTTAGCATAAGACTTTAAATCGTAGGGCACTAGGACCCCTAAATCTTTTTCGACTTGGGGTACTACTAGATAGGAGTTTCCTAAGTTATAACTGTAGTCTGCGACATGTCGCAGATGGACTTCTTTACTCTTTGAAGCAAGTCCGTTATCGTCTGCCCAACTTTGAGTCAGATCCTCCTGAAGTGCCTGCCTATCGTCTTGGTTGCGTATCTCTCTCCAAAGTTTCACGTTGTCGGCAAAAAGTAATAAGTCTGACGATACCTGTTGAGGAAGATCATTTGTATAAATCAAGAAGAGAAGAGGTCCTAGTACTGAGCCCTGGGGGACCCCACTAGGACATTCCATAGCCTGAGATAAAGTGGAAAAAAACCCTAACCTTAAAATGTCGATTTTTCAGGTATGAAGTGAACCAAACGATTAGAGGTGGTCTGATACCCAATCGTATGAGCTTATTGATAAGACATGTATGGTTAAACTTATCAAAAGCTTTTGAGAAATCTAGGTAGATGATATCAACCTTCCGCTTGTGATCGAGGATGCTTGTCCATCTGTTCACCGCAGTCAGCAGGTTGGTAATACAAGAGTAACCCTTCCTGAAACCATGCTGTTGGGGCGAGAAGAAATTTAAGGACAGTAAATAGTCATTTATACCATCGCATATCAGGGACTCCATGATTTTTGAAGGTATTGAGAGAAGAGCCACCGGTCGGTAACTTGAAGGTTCGTTGCGTCAAACTCTTTTGAAAATTGGTGTGATGTGAGCCAGCTTCCGATTTTCCGGTAATTTTCCTCGGCTTAGCGAGTGTGAGAACATCACGCTAAGCGGCGTTGCTAGGATTAAGGCTGCTTCCCTCAGTATGGCAGAATGTACCATATCCGGGCCAGTAGAACTGTCAATTCTTAAGTGCTGCAGTTTCCGTAACACCAAGTCAGCGCTCAGGTTCACTTCGGAGAGTCCTTTGGAGTTGCAGATGAAGCTTTCATCAGTATAGTTGATGTGGGTCGGTTGAAATGTCTGAGAGTATTGTTCAGCCAGAAGGTTAGCGGCATCGCCATCGTCGTTGGTCGGGCCGTTAAGACCTAGCAGTTGGGAGACTCCAGTTTTGGCTTGACGAAGAGAGGTTGCATAACGGAATAAGGTTTCCGGATTAGAGACAATTTCGTCCATAAGCTTTACCTGGTACTGAAGCCTGTCATCTCTTATAGCGTTCGTGCATGTGTTCCTAATATGCTTGTATGGCCTGTACGCTCTGTTGCTGTCAGTTCGTTTGTACTCTGCCCAACAGTGCCTTTTGCGGCTTAGCAGAAGAAGAGTGCGGTTACTGATGATTGTGGGTTGCCGATAGCTATGAGGCACCGCTTTAGGAACTGAATGGTCTGTAGCATATATGAGCGTGTGCAGTAAGAGGTCCCAATAAGCATCCACATCGAGTTGAGGGTGGACATCTTGATCCACCTGCTGTAGATAGTCCTGTAGAGCTGACACATTAAACCGTTTGAAATTCCAGCGCAAGTTGCTGGTGGGATATCTTAGCTCAGTACTGCCGACGAAACTGAAAGTTATAACGGCATGATCGCTTTTTCCCAGGGGGGAAAGGATTGAGAGGTTGTCAACTAGGTATTATTTGTTTGTAAATACACAGTCAAAGCGTGATGGCGTCTGACTGTTTCTCCAACGAGTTGTCGACTTCACATTTTCGTATAATCCTAAGCCTTCAATGAGGTTGAAGAACCGAGCTTCAGTTGAGTTTTCACCTCCAATACACGTATGCTCCGCGAAGTTCACTGTGGAGAGATTGAATTCCCCCTGAATCGGAATATGATTGAAACCGAGACGAGTAGAGCGAGATAGCCTTCCAGAATACGACTGTCTGTTGGGTCGGTTTCCGGATAACTTCAACGGAGCCTCCAGAGGCCCGAAAGGAGCTGAAGAGTCCTAGATAATCAAAGCATGATGTAGCATTCTAGAATTCCAACGTGGCGTGCTACCATTGGTCAGTAGCACAATATGTCGTTAACGGATTGGCCGAAATATGATGTTGATTTAACAAACGTTAACATCTATAAATACCCATGTTTTCTGCACAAAATCGAACCTTGGGGTAAATTGTTTCTCACATACTTTGCGTCTTCTTTCTGGTGTTCATGTAGCTGTATAGGTCTAGCGTGCGGGTTATCACGATAGCTTAGGAACGAATATAGCGTCCAAATCAGCAAGACGTAACAACTGGTGACGGGGTTATAGTACCAATATGTCATTTACCTTTGAACAATTTGAAGCCTTGCTGGAACGCCATGAAAAACGCTCGGAACAGTTCCAGATTCGCATGATAGAGACGCTAACCCAAAAATGGACCTGAATCAAAAAGAAGTTACAGATGATCCCTCTAAATCTCATGTTGACCAGATCATTAATCCTATCCATGAATTTAATTTCGATGGTTCGGCTGGCACTAATTTTGAAATCTGGTTCAAGGAATATGAAAACTTGTTCAAGGTCGACC